GTGAGGACATAGCCAGTGGAGGGCCTGCCCCTTCCTCCTGGGAGCTGCTGGGGGTACTTCTCTTAGTCCCTTCCCCAGCTAACAGCTCAGAAGGCCCCCTAGAACTTGGCCTTGGGAGCCATCTGGCGGGGCTGGCGCCTGCAAGAGCAGCCAGGCAAGGGCTGTGGGAGGCTGGGGGGGTGGGAACTCCTGCAGTGGGAGAGAATGTAACCCCGGAGCTGTTTTGAAATGTAATGAAATCTTCATGAATACAAAATTTAGCAATTGACAGGAGCTGACATTACCGAGGACGTGGAGACGTGTAACGGGCATTAATTCTGACTGTGCCGCTTCCTTTCTGAGTTCTCCTTACAGATCATCTCTCTCCCTCCGGGACTTGAAGGAGCCCTGGTGGTGCAGTGGGTATGTATCGGGTTTGCTATCCGCACGGTTGGCAGTTCAAATCCACCAGCAGCTTCAAGGGACAAAGCCTGGGCTTTCTGTTCTCGTCAACCGTTAGTCTTGGGGATGGCTATGGACCAGTGCGTTTTGGAGGTCTTGAAATGTGGCATGGGTGCCCTGTGAATCATAATTTTAAGAACTCTACCCCCCCTCCCCCCTTGTTATCTGTGACCATTTATGCTAGGTACAATCTTAAACCTCTAAAGATACACAGCAACTCATTCTTTTGTCAAGGGTCCCTGAGGTATCATGGTCAAATGCTCAGCCGATGAACCAAAGGTCAGAGGTTCAAACTCACCCGTCTCTCAACAGGAGACAGAGTGGCAGTGTGTCCGTCCTGAGCTTACTGCCTGGGAAATGCTCTGGGGAAGTGTCCTACAGGGCCACGGAGTTGGCAGAGGTTGGTCAATGAGGCAGGTTGGTTCTAGTGGTTCACCCTTGACTCTGCAGGCAGAAGACCCGGTGGGATTCCTGGTCAAGGGCGCCTCAGTGAGGCTACCACAAGACCCGTCCATTGCAGAGGGTTGCCTGTGCTGGAGTGCTGGGCAGGTTTCAGGGAAGGTCAACCAGGGCAGAGTAAGAAGCAAGGCCTGGCAATGAGCTCCTCAAAACCATCCCTCCAACAGTCTCATCTTTCTCCTACGTTGTCGCTGGCTGTTTTGAGTCTAGACCCTGTGGTAAGCAGTCCCTGCTGGCAGAGAGGGTGCTACCTGGAGTCCTTGCTGCAGATGGTCACTGCTACAAAGGGGCCTTTCTTACCCCACGCTTACCTCTGGGCCCTGGCCAGGGTGAATGAGGCTGAAACGGCCACCCTGTGAATCAAAGGGGAACTGCAGGAGCCCCCTCCTGGGCGCCACCTGGGCAGCCTGGTGGTGCTGAGCTCCAAGAGAGCCCATGACAGGCTGTAAATGTGGGCCTCAGTGACCACCCTGGTGCATGGGGAGGCATGCCCCAGGCCCCGATCAGCCTTCCCCACTGGCGGAGTCCCAAGGAGCCTGATGCCCAAGGAAGCAGCTGCTTTGACCTCTCGCCCCCATAACTTGACCAGCCTTAGGGAACACAGGACACTCTGGGAGAACCGGCTACTGTTGGGAGCCCGCCCTAGATGTGGAGCTGGGAAAGTGGCAGGGATTAGCTCTCGACATGCCAGACCTGGGGACTTTCGGGAAATCAGCATGGGCCCCTGACCGGCCACTCCATCTTAAAGCCTCCAGCTCCCCGGATCCTCCTCACCAGGCACTGTGTGTCTGTCAACAGGGAAGACGCTCACCCCGCCCTGCAAAGGCATCCCCCAGCCCCCATCCGGCTGTCCCTCCCAGGTCCCATGGTCTGAGGCCCAACCTCTTCGCCCCGTGGTGGCCCAAGCCCCCAATGGGCTGGGTCATGTCTGGGGACAGCACCTAGCACCCAAAGTGCAGATGCTCAGCAGGGCATAGGTGTGTGGGGTGTGTGTGTGTATGTCTCCCTCCTTCCCACCAGCCCTCCCCTCTGGAATCTGCACCCCACACGTGCACAGGCCCCGAATGCGAACCATAAACTTTTATTAATGGAAAATGGAATGCCTCGTTAAACAGAAACCTGGTCTTAAAAACGCAGAAGAAGAACACACTTGTTACAAAAAAAAGAGAAGTGAGTCCCCTGGGCTGAGCTCCGCGAGTGGCGGGTGGCCAGGGCGCCGGGTGCCAGCTCGGCCTGGCTAACAGATCTACCAAGAGGGCCTACCTGGAGATTCGAGGGTGGTGGGGCCTAGTAGCGGCGGGTGAAGGGGGTTGTGGGTGGGGCTGAGGGGCCCCTGCTGCCCTGGTCCTGGCCAGCCAGTGCTCCACCATCCAGTCCGCCCACCGGCGCCCCGGGTCCTGGGTGTGTCCACCCTGTGCAAAGCCGCCTCGCCTCGGAACAAAGGCCGAAGAATGCTCGTCAAGTGCTCTGCGTGTCTCGGCAGCCGGGGGTGTGCCGGGCCGGGTCCAGGTGAGGACTGCCGTCCTCTAGAGTGGTGGTGGCGGCTGCAGCGGCTTCCGTGGCACTGGAGGTCGCCAGGTGCCTATGTTGCAGAGAGCCACTTTGGGTTTGTATTCAAAACACTCAGCCAAGAAGGCTGAGCAGGCATGCACAGGGGGCGGGCGCAGGCAAGGCACTGGGCCTCCAATGGCGTCCTTACCCCGCCATGCCTCCGTGGTTCCCCAGGTGCCCTGGCCCCGAGGGGCTGGACGGGCCTCGCTCACCACCTGGGAGAGAAGGAGGAAACGCAGTTGGAGAGGCTGCTCAGGAAGCAGAAGCAGCTTGGGATGGGTGGTGGGGTGAGCGCGTACCCTGCCACTGCGCGTGCTCTTGGCTGGCTGCCTCAGCCTCCCCGCTGTCCTGCCAGGCCCGCTCTGGGCGATCTTCCAGCCTCGGGCCGTGCTCACCCCAGTCACGTCCAGCCCTTTGCCAGAAGAAGCAACAAAGGACTGTCGAGATAGGTTTCCCAGCTCAGGCCATCAGAAGGCCAGTGCTGCATACCCCAGAGGGAGGGGATACGAGGCATGGGAGGGAAGCAGAGACCGAGGGACATGCCTCCAGAGGGCTCGGGGGTGGTGACCAAGAGCACGCCAGCCCATCAGGAGGGCAGCTGGGGACCTTCTTGGTCAGAGGAATCGCCTCCTCCCGATTCCTCCACTGCAAGGACAGAGCAGCGCCACCCAGCCTGCGCCACTGACCTGGGTGTAGGTGGCGGGACCCGGCCCTCGCTCAGCCTCTTGTCCGGGCCGTAGCCACCCCAGCTGTCTCTGGAGTCCCGGCTGTGGTGCTCTGGGGGCCCACCATGGCCGTGGCGCTCAATGTAGTGCTGGAAGACACAAGGGACAGGCTCACCACAGCCCCCAGCCAAGCAGGAGGAAGCATGCCTGGGGTGTCCTCACCTTCCGCCAAGCTCTCTGGGTGCTGCTGGGAGTCCACAGCCCTGCCCCTCATCCCGCCTTTCCTGGGGAGACGTGGGAGTCATGGACAGGGGAGAGGGCGCCCTGCCCTCACGAATACAATCCTGACATGTAACTGTGGAGATGTGGTATCCCACACAGCCGGACTGCAGGGAGTCTGGATGACTGAGGAAACACCCAACCTTTCTAGAGGAGCCCCTCGGCCGGCTCCCAGGGCACCCCAAACACCTAGCACAAAACCCTCACATATGAGCATCCGGGGAGAATGCACCCTTCTACCGGCCCCATTACACCCCACCCCACCCCCACGAAGGAGGAGCCCACTCACCGGCCTGTCTCGCTCGCCCATCATGGACCGGGAACCTTCCCTCCTGGGAAAGCAAAGTATCTCATTCAAATGCTCAGACAGGACCAGGACGGGTGCCAGCCACCCACAGCCATTTCAAAGGTGCAACACTCAAGTCCTTTCTGTTTCCAGACTCCAGTTCACACTCCGCACCCCAGCAGCCAGGCTCTTGATGTCATCAGGGTGGGTGAACACGTATGCTAACCCAACACACAGTAACTTTCCAGTCACGGGCCCAGAAAAGCCCAGAGCACCAGCTTAGGACCACGGGCTTTCAGTAGCCACAGAACCAGCAGTCCAGTCGGCAGTCGCATTAGGGGGGCTCAAAGGGTGGGGTACTTGGCCTCCGAAGACATAGGACGTGTCCAGAGCTGCCCTCCTGCCACATGATCACTAAACCGTCAGAAATGACTGGGTGGCATCTAGCACCACCCCCACCCCTCTGGGAGCCCCACCACACAGAGCTGGTGCCCACTAGCTGTGGCTCAGTGGTGATGAACGGGCAGCGTGAAACCCCGGATGAGCCCTAAGCTGTGGCTGGGCCTAACACAAGACTCACACCAGATCTCAAAACAAGCTCCAGCTGTGTACAATCCCCACAGTCGTTCCTGTCCCTCCCCCTGGAAACGCTAATGTGGCGGTGACAAGGAAATGTCCATGGGGCCCCAACCCCAGGGAGATGGACATGGAGGACAGACTTGCAGAGATGACCGTGCTGACAGGAAAGTCCCCCCGCCCCACAGACTGCTCGCCTGGCTTCCCGGGGACTCAGTGAGAGCGTTCCCTGCAAGGCCAAATCCACCCCGGGCTGTCCAACAGGGCCTGTGCTCTCACTCCTGATGGGACAGGAGACCCTGCCCAGGACACGCAGTGACAGAGTCTGGAGTCCCAGTGTCACTGCAGCTGTAACTCCATTGCTGGGAGTCCCCCAACCCCGGCTCCCACTGAAGTGGCCTCCTCCCTGCTGGAGATGCGGAGGACGGGGCAGCACACCCATGGCACCAGTCCCAGGCCTTCTGGACCCCCTCGCTGGGGACCAGGCGTTCTAGGGAGGGCTTTGAGGTAGTGGATGGGGTGGAGAGTTTGCCCAGGGCTGGTGGTTACTGACCTGTCACCCATGTGATCCTGGTAATGACCCCGATCACGGTGGTCGAAGGTGTGGAAGCGGTGCTCAGAGCGCGGAAAGTACCTGTCCTCCATCATCGCCCGCTTCCCCTCTGGCCAGTAGGGGTCAGGACGTCTGGGGTGGGGGTGAGGGTGAGAGGAGAATCAAAAGCAATGAACAAATAATAGACAACAGCACACTGCATTTTCGGAGAAGTGAGAGGAAAGAGCCAGGGTGGAGTGGGCAGGCCTGAGGGCCGCTCTTCAGGCTGGTCTCCGAGGGCCAGGGTGAGCTCACTATGGACGGTGAAGTGATGGTGGAAGGAGAACAGGCACTGGCGTCCTGCCTGAGCTCTCACACAAGCATGTGGGAGCATTTGATTCTTCTGGAAGAACTGCAGTGGCCACAATGGTTACCTTCCGGCTTCTGGGAAACGGGGCCGCTCCCCTCCTACGGGTTGGTCTCTTGCAGGGCCCTGAGTGGTCCTAAAGGAACTCCCGAGACAGACTGGTGGGCCAGGTTCCCAGGAGCAGCTTTGGTAAAGCAGCTCTGCTGTGCTGCAGACCAGCCTCTGACCCCAGGTGGCAACTCCCAAGGGGCCTACCTTTGGCTCCTTCTCCGACAGGAGGACGGAGACCACTATCGTGTGTGTGGGCCTGAGCCTGTGATTATCCCAAGACATCTACCCCACCCAGGGGACACCTAGGTAACCCCCAGCGGCTATCACTGTCCAGACGCTCGGAAGAGTGGTGCAGGTAAAGACCCCAACGGAGACCTGAGTGGGGTTGAGGGCGGGTGGTTCTGGGCCCCACCTCCAGTAGGTTGAGGTCCTGGTTGCCCCACCAGGCTGTCCACCCCGTGCTCACCGGCCGTCCATGTCGTAGGGCCTCCGGAAGGCAGGCCGCCGCTCCTGCTCGTAGCGCAGCTGCTCCTGCTCGTAGCGCAGCTGCTCGCGCTCGCGGTGGATGCGCTCCTGCTCCTTGCGGCGCTCGCGCTCCACACGCATGCGCTCGCGCTCCAGCCGCTCCCGCTCCCAGCGCTCGCGCTCCAGCCTCTGCCGCTGGCACTCCAGGTGCATGCGCTCGCGCTGGAAGCGGGCTCGCTCCTTGCGCTCATGGAAGACCTCCAGGCGCAGCTCCCGCTCCCGCTGCTCCCGCTCGCTGTGGGTGCAGAGAGGGTGGCCTGAATCCCTCCCACCGGCGGTTCAGGACCCCACCACCACTTGAGCAGTTGAGGGCAGCAGGCGTCCCACTGGGCAGGGATCCCCCACCCTGAGCCATGCCCAGACAAGGTCCTGAGGAGCTCTCCAGGAGCGCTCACCGCCGCCTCTCTGTCTCCCGGATCTCCCGCTCTCGCTGCCTCTGGCGCTCTCGCTCGCGCTGCTCTTTGATTTTATCAAACGATAGGATGTCGCGCTTCTCTCGGCTTTCCGATTTCCGGTCGTGACTCTTGGAGCTCTGCAGGGCAAAACGGACTCCATCAGGTGGGACAGACAAACAGTGGCACACTCTGAACACGCCCACCGATGGGCCTCTGCTGGCGAGGCCCCAGTCTGCTGCACACGACCTCTTCATAGTAATGGAGAGCTAGGGTGCTACTTTAAAGACAGGTGCACCTGACATAAACCACGGTCCTCTCCATTGCCTGAGATGCATGTGAACGTCAGGTATGGAATAAGGAAGGTGAATCGAAGCATTTGAACTGTGGTGCTGGCGAAGATTATTAAAAGTACTGTGGACCGCCAAACAAACAAACCGATCTGCCATGGAAGGACAGTCAGAGCTCCTTAGAGGCAAGGATGGCGAGACTCCGTCTTACATACTTTGGGCATGTTAACCACAGACCAGTCCCTGAAGGACAGCATGTCTGGGGTCAAGTAGAGGGACAGTAACAAAGAGATGGATGGACAGTGGCTCCCACAATGGGCTCCAGCACAGGAACGATGATAAGCATGGTGCAGGGCGAGGTAGGGTTTGCTTCTGTGGTGCATGAGGTCACTATGGGCTGGAACAGCAGCTTTGAGAACAGGAGGGTGGCGGGGAGCAGACTCGTTCATTTGGGGCCTGCTTAAAAGCAGCAGGATGCATCAGGGTCACACGAGATAAATCTCACTAGAATGCCCATCAGAAACCCCAAAGTCAGCACCGCACTGTTACGTGAACCCCTAGAACCACCCAGACAACAGTGACTTCCACACACAGCTGAGAGCCTGGGGGGATCCCATGAGGAAAGTCAGCAGCTCCATCTAGGCCAAGGACAACATGCCTCCTGATTCCCTCAAAGAACTCTCTCACCGTGACAGCGACTCCAGGAAACCTTTCACACTGTTAAGCAGGACAGCTCTGTGAGCGGTGCCAGAGCCCACGGGGCCACTCACCCTCTCTTTGGACTTGCTTGTGGTCTTCACACTGATGACAGGCTCGCCTTTGGACTTGTCCATCACAACTGTCCGCTCCACTCCTCGGCTTCCTTCAGGGAGAAGTGCAGCTGTCACTCAAACAGGCCAGCATCCCGGCTTCCCAACAGCACCCCTGGGCCAAGACCTGGATGTTGGACTTCTAGGGCCCGCTTGGGCACCTTGCAGCTGGATCTTTGGGGTGCCCACGTCCCATCTTTCTATTGATGGCGATACCAAGAGCCGAGCACATCTGGCTCGTCAGAGGCCCCGAGACTTGGTGACGCTGGGCACGCAGCAGCTGGGGTGCCTTGACGGGTCTCGTCTGCGGCAAGGCTGTGTTCTTTCCTCGCCAAGGAACTCCAGGGGGGAAACACATTTTATGCACACACACACACACACACACACACAAACTCAAAACCCACTGGCACCGTGTCAAATCTGACTCCTAGTGACCCTGTAGGACGGGGAGAACTGTCCCTGGGGGTGTCTGAGACGGTGACTCTTTATGGGAGAAGACAGCAAGCCTCATCATTCTCCTGCAGAACGATTCCTGGATTCACACTGCTGAACTCATGGTTAGCAGCCTGACTTGTAACCATCCAGTGCTGCTGGGCGACAAGCACACCCACTCAGAACCCCTTGCCCTGCACACAGGGCTCTGTTCAAATGCTGCAGGACAGACAGCGCTTTGTTTTAATTGCGGAGCTTGACAGGGCCTGGCTCTGCATGGCCCCCCGGCCTAGAGGACACAAGGCCAGACACAGACAAGGAAAGGCTGCAAACTGGCTCTATCTCTCTCCAACATGATAACTGGCTTTTATTTACAGTGCCATATTTGGGGAGGTTGACAATACTTGATGTGTTTTTAAAAGCTGTTTCTCGTGAGATCGCGCCTAAACTACCCCAAACGCTTAGGCTCTCACTTGTAAAGCGCTGAACCAAATTTCAAGGCTCCAGATGGTTGGGTTCTTTTCCCCACGTGCTTGTGTTCTAAGGGGATTGACTTTATTTTATTTTTTGCTACAAAATGTTCTGAGGAAGCTCCCACAGATGCTGCGGTACAGAGCACAGCTCACTGAAGAAAACGACAACTCTTGTGGGAGACTCAGAATCACGAGCACCTGGGTAGGGTGCCACAGCTGTCGGGGAGTTGGCACTTCTGACACCTTTCTGCTTGCCCTGCTGACGCCACTTATAGAATGTCACCCAGTCAGCCAGTACCCCTGTGCCAACCGCTGGCTGCATTAGGCCAGTGGCTCAGGAAGCAGCACGCCCCAGGCCACTCAGTCCACCCGCCCCGAGCCATCCCACAGTTGTCTTGGTGCTGTGCAAAGCAGTGATGGAGGAGACAAGAGAAGGGGTGGGTGGTCAGTGGCCAGACAGCACGGCCATTCTGAACTCTGGCCCACAGCGCTCAATCGAGGCAGTGAGCTGGGCATCAGCTCCACACACCCAGGACTGCAAACGCACGCCCACCCGTGGCTGACAACCAGAAAGGTAGGAGACAGTAGCTGTGCCCCACAGGCACCACCTGCCCAATGACAGATGACCCCCCCCACCATCATCTGTGCCGCACACACAGCAGACAAAACTGTGCGGCCAGCCCCTCCTCTGTCACAGCCACCCAGAGGCAGGTGGTGCGCTCCTGAGTCTCAGTAGATACAGAACCACCAGTGTCTCCAAGGCAACACAGAGTGGCTCCACCAAGCGCCCAAATCACAGATCCAGAAACCCTCCGGGGAAGCAATGGCATTGCAATTACCTGCTAAGGAACACAAAAGAACGACAGTGGTCTCAAGCAAGAGTCTACACTCCTGTGAAGGAGAACCAGACAAAATCCACACCAAACTCACTGCTGCCGCTAAGTGCCTTCGAGCAGGTTCCGACCAGAGACCCTATCTCTGCACAAAGGAACGAGACACTACCTGACCCTGTGCCGTCATCACAGTCACACCCATGCAGTAAAAACTCACTGCAATTAAAGGCATCCAAACTGGCAAAGGAGCAAAACTATCTATGTCCAAATGATACGCTCTTATGCCCAGAATATCCCAAAGACCCAGCAACTACTATAATCCATGAAAAGCTTAGGAGCCCTGGTGAAGTAGTGGTTACATGTTGGGCTGCTATCAGAAGGGCCAGCAGTTCAAAACCACCAGTCGCACTGTGGGGAACGACAAGCGCTCCAGTCCCGTGAAGCACACAGGCAGTTCCTTTAGGGCTGCTGTGAGTCAGGAATGACACAATGGCAGTGCGAGTGAGAAGCGGAAGACTGGGCAACATGGCAGGGTTCAGGGTCAACATGTAAAAAACCAGTCAGATTCCTTTACACTCAGAGATCTGAAAACGAAACAAAAAATACAGTGCCATTTGGGACAGCCACTCCAAAGAAGAAATACCTAGGAATAAGCATCACTAGAGGAAACACACACACACCTAGGAATAAACATCACTAGAGGAAACACACACACACACACACACACACACACACACACACACACACCACACACACACCGCTTCCAGAACTGGCAAATGCTACTGTAAGGACAAAACCAAATGAGATCTACCTAAGTGGAAGACTATACCATGCTCACGGGTAGAAAGATACAGCAGAGTGAAAATGCCAATACTAAGTAACAGTCTACAGATAGAACGCGAACCCAATCTAGATTTCAAATGACACCAAAAAAGTAAATAAATGCCAACTTTGCAAGGAAGGGAAAGAGACCTCAGGGTAAGCAAAGCATTACTAAAGAAATTTAAGAGACCAGAGCACTCTGAAGCTTCAAGCTTCCAGATGGCAAACCCTACTACTACAAAACCAAGGCAGTCAAACAGCCCGGGGCAGGGACAGACAGATGCACAGAGCAACGGAACAGAAGTAATATCCCAGGAGCATATCTACTGATGAAGGGCTACTTTCCGACGGGGCCAAAGTTCATGAATAATGCTGGAAAAACCAGGACAGACAACTGCAGAAAAATGAAACAGGACCCATGTCTCACACCGACCTTGCAGGTCTGGCTGGACCAGAGGATGTACACTGGTACAGATGGGAACTGGAAACACAGGGAATCCAGGACAGATGATCCCTACAGGACCAGTGGTGTGAGTGGTGAAACAGGGAGGGTAGAGGGAGAGTGGGTAGGAAAGAGGGAACCGATTACAAGGAACTATATGTGACCTCCTCCCTGGGGGACCGACAACAGAAAAGTGGGTGAAGGGAGACGTCGGACAGGGCAACATATGACAAAATATCAATTTATAAATTATCAAGGGCTCATGAGGGAGGGAGGAGCGGGAGGGAGCGGAAAAATGAGGACCTAATGCCGGGGGTTTAAGTGGAGAGGAAATGTTTTGAGAATGATGAGGGCAATGAATGTACAAATGCGCGTTACACAATTGATGTATGTATGGATTGTGATAAGAGTTGTATGAGCCCCTAATAAAATTATTTAAAAAAAACAAAACAAAACCCCCCCCCCAAAACAAAAACAAAATGAATCAAAGATCTAAATATAAAACCTAGAATTACAAATACCATCAGTGAAAAAATAAGGACAAACTCAGGGGCTATAATATAGTTGTTACAAATATACTATCCAATATGAATTAAAAAAAAAAAAACACACAAAAAGCACAAGACTAAACAACTGAGACCTAAAATTTAAATACTTAGGTACATCAAAAGATTTCACCAGAAAAATAAAAAGAACTCACAGATGGGGGTGGTGGTGGTGGAATTTTTGGCAACCCACCTAAAATTTAGAGAAGATGTCAATATCCTAACAAAGGCAAATTCACATGCAAAGGCTTCACTAAAGACATCCAGGCAGCCACGAACACGTGGAGAAAGCTCACAATCATTCGCCATTACAAGGTGCCGATCACGAGACACCATCTTCCTCCAGAAAGAACGGCAAAGTTAAAACAGAAAACAATCAATGCTGGAGAGGGTAGGAAGAGCCTGGACCTCTATGCACTACTCACGGGGCTGTAAAATGGTACAGCCACTGCGGAAGATGGCACGCCACTTCCTTGCATACCACCCAGCATCCCACTACTAGGGGTGTCTGTGGGTGTGTCCCACAGAAATAAGAGCTGAGATACAGATAAATGCATACCTATGTTCATGGACTTATCAATCACAATAACATAAAAGGGAAACAACGCAACTGCCCATCCATGGACAAGTGAGCAAACCCACAATGGACTACCAGGCAATGTTGCAGAGCAATCAAGACCCGGGGAAACAGTTCCTAACACAGGAATCTTTGGCTGAATGAAATGAGTCAATCACAAATACTGTCTGAGCACTCAGAGTAGTCATATGAAGCCAAGAGGAGGTCTTCACACGTTTACACTCAAAGGACCATTCCTGATAGTCCCCAGGGACGGGAGGGGTGGTGGCTTATTAACCAGAGGGCAGACACCTACAAGTGTGGGTGAACAGGGGCCGAGGTTGGCTCTTGGGGACTGTAATCAAGGGCATGGAACACAATGTGAGGTATCGAAGGGACACTGGCGTGCTCTGTACACCGTAATTCACTCCCCGGGGGGCTGGCTGCCTCACTTGCTCTCCAGGAGCCCTCGTCATCCGGTCCTGGCTTCGCCCCTTTCGTCAGACTCTGTAATCACCTGATTTTGTGACTCTGGACCGACTGGGGGTTCCCGGTGGTTTCTGCTCCTCTTCGTCTTTTTCTTCCTTTTTAATGTCTTCAGGCTTTTTCTCCTCCTTTCTCTCGACCTTCTCTTCCTTCTCTTCCTTCTTAATTACGGTTCTATTTGAAAACATGGTCGATAAACGTGAATTGCTGGAACTCGCTAAGCGCCCGGGTCCCACTGAGCGTCACGCGCACACGAGCAGGCGCCGGCCACGCGGAAGGAAGGAAGGAAGCGCTCCCACAGCAGTCAGGCAGGGCTGGGTGGAGAACCTCGTCCAGGTCACCCACCTCTCTAGATGCGGTCCCGATTTCCACTTGTGGTCTCGGCGAAACCTAGACTTGTGCCCACTGAAGCCAGAGGCCCCTGGGGCCACTTCCCCCAATTGCTAGCCACATGAGCCTACAGGGGCATGTGTTCAATTCATCTGTGAGCGACGGGAAGGATTTAGAATCCATTCATAGTGGTTACTTTAGGATGCAGAGGGATAAAGCTTTTCCGACTAGGGAGTCTGACCAAGAGCAGAGGAGCAGCACCGGACGCCAAGTCCCTACTGAAAGAAGCAGCGGGCCTGTCCCCGTCCTTTCTGCACACGTGGGGCGGGAGGGGCAGGGGAGGTGGCATACTACATGCCAGTGAATACAGGAGATGATTAGTAAGGTTTCCACAGAAGGCCGTTTCATATTTTAAGTGCTGAAATAAATCATCTCAGCCATTCAAACAGTCTCCCACAGTCCCCAGTGCTGCTTGTCTCAGGCAATTAAACTTCACGTCTATGAACTACCAGCCACCAGGCACCTGAGGGGGGGCGGGGGAGGGCACCAGCCCTGGGGGTCCCCTCTAACAAGCAATTCTTGCCTTCTCAGCACTGCCACGCACCAAGTGGAGCTATGGCTGGGCCAAGGGGATCTCCACAGGCCCTTAGCTTGGGGTCAGGGAGTTTACCATTTAATAGTATCTGAGCTGCTTAACACACACCACACACACGCTAACCAGGACTTTACACACACACAGACCACCCACCCTACCCCACCCCACCCCACCCCCAGAACTTTTGTTAGTAAATTGGGTTTTGAGAAAAAAGTAAAACTCAGGGATACACACATGGGGTTGCCAGAGGCACTATCAACTCTCAATGGCAACTCAAACCGCCTGCTGGGAAAGCGACTTCAAACAGATGAGCTCAGCTCCTTGGTTTAAGAACAGCTTTTAGGGCTGGGCCCCAGGGTTCATTAAACCTGGACCAGGTCAAGTCCTGGCAGGCCTGTGTGAACTTGGGTCAGGCCCTTGACCTCTGAGCGGATTCCCTCTCCTCAGACCACACAGGATCACTCCCTTGCTGGTTCAAAATGCTACCATTCATTAGCCCACTACCACCAGTTCATTACTGCCTCTCTTCCTCCTACACAAAGCCGCCTCACTTTGGCACCAGAACACACTTTTCCAAGGTCCTGCTCATCCCACGACGCCAACTGTGCCCCGTGCTCCACCAACAAGGACTGTGGGCAGCGCAGACAGGATGTGTCTGGAGAAGCTGCTGAGAGAACTGTGGGTCCACAACAGGGGCTGCTCTTTGTGAGAGGTGACACCTGCCGGAGTGTCGGTTTCTCCTGCATCAGGCATCTCAGGACAAAGTGGGGTTGGTGGGAGGGGCTAGATGCCGTGTGGGAGCCATGTGTTTTGAGTGGGAGTGGGTTACAGACAGCAGGGTGCCAGCCCAGGAAGCATCAGGTAGACCTTTGGCCAAAGGCCACTCTAAAAGGACAAGCCTACGTGCTTGAGCCAAGTAGAAATAAGTAAGGCCCGTTTTCAGAGCCTGATCTGTTTCTTGTCTCATCATATCTCAGACGCATGGTTCCCAAACTACTGTGCTGCAGCAAATCCCAAGGCTGCCCTGAGCGCGGGAACGACAGTGACCCTCGATACCATGCAGAGCCAGCTGGGCTGCTGGCTTTGATGTCAGAGCAGGCTGCCTTCCTCTGTGGCAGGCTAGCTTGGCCACTTTGGCTTTGGGGCACTTAGCTGCTGTGGCCCAACACATGCCAGAACCTCGTGCGACCCAATGTGGATTGGGGAACGATGTCAAGGTCGGAGAGCTGTGCAGGGGACCAAAAGGTTACTTCAGGATGAAGTCCTCTGTTCTTTTCAGACGGCTTCCCAGCCACCAGGCCTCAGCAGTCTGAGCATCACCCACCGCACTTAGTGCACGCGAAGGAGAGAGGCAGTTGGGTGCTGGTGACTATTAGCAACCCAGTTACCAGAGGAGAAGCGCCCGAGGGCTTTTCAAGGTGGCAAACATCTTTCTCCCATGGGCCACACCGCCTGCTTAACCACTGTGCCACCACTGGCACTGGGCATCTGCAAACAGCAAGTGCAGCAAGATGCCACCCCCACCCCCCCAGTTTCCAGGACAAGCTGGAGGGACTGTGTGCGCATGCCCCTGCCTCCCCCGAGCAAGGTTTTCAGAAGTGGCTTTACTTTTCAACTTTGATCTCCACAGCATGAGGCCTGTCCACACTTGCAGACTTCTCCTTCTTCACCTCACTCTCTTTCCTCTCAGCTAGCTTCTTCCCAGCGGGCTCGTTTTTGGCCTGGAAAAAAGAAAAATAATCCAACGGGAACATGGACAGAAGCCAGGGGCCCAGCTGGCCCCCTCACCCGGAGACCCCACCAGCTTCAGGGGGCCAGGGGGGAGGCCTCACCTTCTCTACGGAGATCATTCTTCCGTGTAGCTCTGTCCGGTGAAGGTGGTTGATACACTTGGTGGCCTCGTCGGAGGTCGACATTGTGACAAAGCCGTAGCACCGCGCCCCAGGACTGCGGGCATTGGTGACCACCTTGGCCCCGACAACCTTCACAAAAAGGAGGTTCTGGTTTTCCCACTGCTGTCATGGAAATGCACAACCCTTCCCCTGCTGGCACCGGCTGGTCAGGGTCCAGCTCTGCAAACACTGCACCCTTTAGGCTGAGCTGCAATGTGACTCCTTTCCATGTAGGGTGGTTCCTCAGACCCCAAAGGGCTCCAACACACTGTGCAACTCGACAGGTGGCCATGTGTTCACAAACCCAAAGCGCCTTCCACTCGGGGCCAGGACTCCGGGCAGCAGGGGTGGAGTGGTGGGGAACAGGACCCAGGACTGGAGGAAGGCTCAGTAACACTGAGTTTACGGACATTTCTTGGGTACCTCTCTGGGTGGACACGCGGCAAATCGACCCGTGAACAAAACCCCTCAATTTCTTTTAAATACCAACTCATTCAAAAATAGTACTACTAACTCCTAAGTGAAACTGCGTGATACTATATATTCACGTATAATCCGAAACAGTTATGCAACAGTTGAAATGCTGACATACTGTCAGGGTCTCGTGGGAGAGCATGACAGTCCCCACTATCTGTCAGCATTTACTTTCTAAGAACCTTTGACTATGTTTATGTTCATCCAGGATGAAACCAATTTACTGGGATGCTGAATTTACATTTCCCTCAAACTGAAGTGCATCTGGATGTACGTATGTATACCACACAGAGAATTTCGAGATTAGAAAGCTCAATGATGAATTTGTGTGTGTATTTGTCTCGTTAAATCAATGAGTCGGCATAAAAAGCAGAAGATAAATGCAAATGGTTTCTGTAAACTTTTGTTGGAAGAGAAATTCATCAGAATGCATCCCGTAACCCTAGTGTGAGCCACTTTGCTTACTGAAAGCCTCGAGGGCCTGAGGTGTGTGCCAATCAGGGGCGCCTCTTGTGTCTGCCTCCCATCTCTGAGAGTCCTCAACAGAGGGAAAAGCCAGTAGCATGACCAACACCAGGAAGTAAGTTTCTAGGCTCAAATCAAATTTGGTGGATCAAATGAATCAAAGCGTTTCCCCCCCAAACGCCCTTCTGTGCACAGAAGGCCCTGTCTCTGCAAAGCACAGCAGAACAATGGGTTTGGCTCAGGCCACCACGTCCTAACAATTTAGACCAAGAGCGAGCCACGGAACATGGTTGGCTTGCCAGCACTCTACAAACGATACCAACACTAGTCTGCAGTCCAGGAAGTGTGCAAGATAGCATTGTGAGCAAGCCTGCAACCAAAGGGAGACAAAGACAGGGAGCAAACATGAGCTGTTGGAAAAATGGCGCTGTGAAGACTCGTGCAACACCAAGTGTGGCAAAGAAACTAGATCAGAAAGAGCGTCTCGGGTCCCAAAGGCTTGCCTTCGAACAAGCAGCCACCTAGCTGAAACTTGAACTAAGTCCACATGAAGAAGCACATGAGCCTGTGTGATTCAAGATTTGTAAACAATAGAATCTAAATCTGAAGGAAGGAATGGTATCAGAGCTTAAATTGTGAACACCCAGTTTGCAGAAGACTAGGGGTGACAATGAAAACCCAAATTCTACCTGCAGGTCCACACGTGGATTAAACCTCTGATGAATGAATCCCCTCTGACCAGAGTTGAGGGGTGTGAATGGCCTTATTATCAGACAGCATTGTACAGTCAATTATAGCAGATAGTTACGTTAAAATGTAATACCCTATCATTTGATCTCCCCTTTGACCCACTTTAGTTGTTTCATTAAAAAAAAAAAGTGAAGGGAAAAATATGTGGATCAAGCCTCTGGTGAATCCCCCGTGACCACAGACCAAGAATGTGAACAGCCTTGCTATCCCGCAGTGGAACGTGGACTATTACCGATGTAGCTAGTGAAATTTCAACGCCTTACTATCTGATCTCTTTTTCAACTCATTTAAAATTTATTCTCATTTTTAGTAATTTTTTGCATTCTTTATGATTATACTTTTTGTTACTATTCATAGTCTATTTTGTGTTTTCTGTCTATGAAAACCAGGATAGATTCAACTGTACAGGAACTCAATCAATGCTTTTTTGAAGGTATGGCCGAGGAGCTAATAACAATGAGTGCAAGAAAGAAAATGTTCTACAATTGATCGCAGCAATGATTGTACAGTTCTTAATGACTGAACAATTGTCTGACTCGTGAATATATGCCATTAAAACTGCTAAAAAAAGAAACAAGACTGCACAGCCCTTCCATGTGTAGAAGGCACAGCAGAACAAGGCATGCTGTGCCTCCAGTCCTGAGCCCCAGACCTGCAAATGTGTCCTTGCTGGCAACAGGCCTTGGAAGATGAACTGAGTGAAGCTAACAGAGTAGGTGGAGGCTGTGTCAAGGAACGCCAAAGCTCTGCCCCCAGCGCTTAGTAAGCTCAGAAGAGGCCCCGAGGAGCCTTCTCAAGAGCCCTCAGAGTGAGCGCAGCCCTGCAGACACCTGTAGCCAGGACTCTCCGTTTCTAGGCAGCCAACCCTTCAATAGGAAGCTCGCCCACTCCGATGCCCTTCTTTGCGGCAGCCAAAGGAGGCTAACCTCGCTGGCAAGAGGTAGAGAACACATACCTTTCCATACTTGCTGAAAAGGTTCTTCAGATCAGTGGCGCGAGTGGTCGAGGACAGCCCGCTAACCCACAGGTTCCGACCAGAACTGCTACTGACACGAGCTGGGGCAAGAGAGAGGGTCACACTTCTCAGAACAGAAGCAGGGCTGTTCTTCAGGGAACAGTGCTTTCCCTCGGACGCTAACTGCACCCAGGTTTCCTCTTCTGACTCCAGGATCACCCTACGGGCGGCATACAGGATGGAAGCCGCACCCCCAGCACGACAACCATCAACTGCAGGACCTCCATGCTCGAGGAAATCAATGGTGTCCCTGCTGGTGTCACACTGAAATGTCTGTGATAACTGAGGAGCCGCTCAGAACACTCTCCTTCTGGCACAGCGGGATTGTCATGATCGCACAAGCGAAGCCTCCCAACCAAGCCAACTACCCTCTCGAGATGATGGTGTATGGTTAACTTCACTACCTCCAGACCAAATGAACTAGAAACAAACCACTTGATCTGAAACGTGGGCAACAAGAGGACCTCCCCTCCTCAAATCTGGGATCCGCAGCAGGCTCCCAGGACATTAAGCTAATCCTTACCTTTGTCGTCTTTAATACTCGGCTTTACATCTTCTTCTTCTTCTTCTTCTGCTTTAAAAGAGCTAGAAACAAAAGGAAATGCTACTCACACAGGGAAAGAACTGCAGGGAGCTACATTAAAAAGACGACGTGCGCTACGACTGAAGACCTCCCAAGAAATTAGTCTGAAATAGAGATTTTGACACAAACATAGATTGGAAATCTGACTCCCCTCCTCCTTCCCCTCCCCCCATCCAAGGTCAAGTTCTAAAAAGTCCATTCAATTTAGCTGGAGGCAATGAGCAACAAGCTAGGAGCACAAGCCGGACAGGCTGAAGAAAAGGGACCAACTCACTCATTACAATAAAATAAAGCAAAACAAACAAAAGAGAACGGAAACGCTCTCTAGCAGTTAACTACAGCTGCCCGAGTCTGGCTGGGCAATTGCAGGAAGAGCAGTGTATGTGTCATTAAGTGCCCCGCGGAAAGGAGAGAGCGTCTGGTCTAGAACTGAGAAAGAACAAACCTCATTTTCTGATCAGCGCCCTCCCTGGCGGAGGACTCTTTGGGAGCTGGGGGGGCTTCATTACAAGCTTCCAGGTCCCCCTTCTTCACGTCTTCTTTGCTATCTTGGGGCTCAGCGCTTGAGTCTTCCTGGAGAGCTTCTGTCGCCGCCTCCTGGCCCGAGGCCTCCGCGTCTTCGGGGCCTTTACTACTCTGCTCAACTGGCTTCTCTAGCCCCGTGGGCTCACAGTCCGGCCTCTCGCCGTCGCCCGTCTGCTCCACGGGCTCCCTTTTCACTACCGCTAACAGGGTGTCTGCCTTGCTCCACTGAGCGTCTGTGGACTCGCTGGCCACAGCTAAAGCACCTTCCTTCTCCTCCTCTTGCTCCTGCTCCTCCTCTTCCGGGTGAGCGCTGACAAAAAGGTCCTCTTCCTCCGCACACTTCCTGTCTGGCCCCACGCTACTTGTGTCCTGTGCCAATGGCTGCTCCAGCTCGGAACCTTCTTCTTTTACTGGCTCAGATTTACAAGTTTTCCCCAAAATGTCGAGTATTTTCTCATTTTCTACGGATTTAACAGGAATAGAATGGCACAAGGTTTAATGACCAGGGAAACACAGCAATCACAAGTGTGGATGGGGCACGGCTGCCACACGCACACGAGGAGAACAGCTAACTACACAGAGATTGGAAAACCCCAGGGGACACGGTTACCTGCTCCGACTACCTGCACGCCAACCACTACTTACTGCCTGAGGCCGTTAGGCTACTGGGAAGAGACCAGGGCCCCAAGATTTAAACATGTATAACCACTGGGCTGGTGCTGGACAGTCTTCTCCACGTTGGTTCAAGTCTGGCTGAGTCTTCCAACGTATTTTCTGATGTCCAAGGTGCTGAACGGAACACAGCCACCATTCACCCAACAACTCAAACTCCGCATTTCTTTGTGTTTCGCTTAACAGAACTGTCCAACAGCAGGAGGGAATTCCTGAGGAAGCATCTTGTCTTCGAGAATCCAGGCACTCCTTGGGGCGGAACTGCCCTGACCGCTGCCTCAGGCTGCCCTTCACCCAAATACTCAGAATAGCGGCAGCAGAACAGCAAAAGCTCTGTCTCACGTGCCCATACCGTGGAGGGAACGACCCGAGGCCAAGCTACGGCACCTCGCAGCACACAGTGCACCTCGAGGAACTACGACTGCCAGCTCCACAGCTGTGCTGATAGGATTTCCAATCTCTGATCCTCGTACGATCTAGATTGTCCAGTTAAGCAAGTTTATAAAGCCCACAACACAGCTTGAAAGAAGAAGACTTAAAAAAAATAGCAGTGTGGAAAAAACCCCAGCAAACCATAACTCTTGCGTTTCTCTTATCAGTACCTGGTTCCAAGAGCGGTTCTTCAATATCCTGTTTAAAAAAAAAAAAGAAAAAGGGAAGAAAAAGAAAATCCACAAGGTACTTTTCGAAGGAGAGACACATGCCCCCAGTAAACACACCCCTCCCCTACGGGCCAGAGCAGGGCTTCTAAACTGCCCTCCTATAGAAGCCAAGCACCACCAAGTAGCTGGTGACCCCAAACTGTTCACAGCGGGGCACTTTAACTGGCTCACCACCAAGGCTCACCTTCCCTAGCCGACACAGCTGTCCACCATCAGCAAGTGCATCGCTCAGAGCTGTGAACCAGTGGGCCGAGGAAGTGAAGCCTGATCAGACCCATCTCTAAAGTCTGGATGAACCAGAACTCAGACTCATAGTGACGTTACAGGGCAGGAGAGAACTGCAGCTGTAGGTTTTCCAGACTGTAACTCTTCAGGAGTAGAAAGTCCCATTTTTCTCCCAAGGTGTGGCTGGTTGTTTTGAACTACTGACCTGGGAGTGAGTAGCCCAACACACAACTGCTACACCACCATGGCTCCTCTGGGTGAATCCGAATGGGAAAACCTATAGGTCACACCCCTTCTAGGAACACAATCTCTTTTTGAGAAAACCCGAGTGTGTGCGTGCGTGCGTGCGTTGTATGCGTGGTGGTGGTGGGCAGAGCAGCAGCCAAGTAGATCCCTTGTCAGTCCATGCCAGGCTCTTCAGGGGGCTTGTCATATCACTTCCCAACCTCCTACTCCAGGGCTGAACTAGACCTCTCATTTTTCCAGTTCCAGGTCTGCTCTGGTTTTACTTCGTTAGCCATAGCCGATTGGTTCAAGCCTAGGGTCTGTTGCCTGTGAGGCCAGCAGAGTGAGCCAGGCTCCTCCAGATCTCAGGCTCACAGAGATGCGCCCCCTCCCCCCCGCCCCCCTCCGAGCCAGCCATCTCCTCTCCCAGCGTGGCCCTCCAGCCTCCCATCACCTTCTATGTTCTAAACCAAGGTTGGCAAACTGCATGCAGCTCTCAAGCCACATGCAGCGGCCTCTTTGGTACGTACATGTGGCTCTGAAGTAAAATTAAAGATGATAATAGAGCTATCATAGTTTCATCAATGAAAACTTTAAAGGGTATCATTCAGATAACCAGGATTCTGGAGTAACTTTTAAATAATAAGGGCAGGACTGGCTCTTCTAAAAGCTTGCTGACCCATCTGAGACGAACGTGCCTCACCCAGCTGCTGTCTCAGGGGCCCAGTGGTCAATGCTGACTTGTGGGGACACCACGTCACGAAGTGAAAGGATTTCTTAGACTATTTTATGGGAGCAGACCACCCATCCTTGGGCTCACAGACCCACCAGGTAGCTTTCAAAGGAGCAATCTTTAGGGTGAGCAGAGTGCTTAACCACTGCACCACCAGGGCGCCTCACGTTCTGTCAGTGCTGAGCCATTTCTACACACAAAGGGGCTTGGAGGGAATCGAATTCGATCTTTTTGAAGCCCCTACATAGACACATGAAAGTTTCCCGAGTCCCAGGAAACGAGTAACTCACCGAGGTGACTTTTAAGTCCAGCGACGAAGGATCCAAAGTGTCTCCAAAGCCTTCCCCATCGACCTGGAAGATGAGGCCGGAGATGACTCTGGAGGGACCAGAACCAGGCAAACGTGCAGGCCAACACCCCTCCTTTTCAGGGCCCTGCTGCCATTGGCCCGTGTCACCCTGTCACATGTCTCCCTGCCCAAGTGCACCTGCCTGGAGATAGGCCTCTGGAGAAGGTGCCTGGGTACCTGGCACCCTGGTGCTATCTGCTGAGTGAGCAAACGCCCTTGTGTCCCAGGCAGCTTCTACAACCCGGGGGTCAGCATCGACCATCTCAGTGTCCAACTTACAGGAAACTCCAGAGGGCAGAAGACAGACTGCCCTGTTCGGCTTTTCTGTGGCTGCAGTGCTTAAGGGAACACTAGCAGATACATCCTTCTAGACAACTTCATTAGCTAGATTTGTCTTCAACCAGTGAAGCAAGCGATGGGAAGCTCACTAAACCCCGAGGCCTTTCTGTTCCCATGCTGCCCTTTTGAACCCTGACGGCCAAAGGCTTGGCTGCTAGCAGGAAGTTTGGCGGTTCGACCCCCACCCTTTGCCCCCTGCAGCTTTGGGAGGAGAAAACCGAGGAACAGCTCTGCTCTGTCACAGGAGTCAGGAGGTGACCGTCAACTCGACGACACTATCCCGTTACGCTTCCCCAATCACGAGGTTAGAAACCACAGCGCACAAGAGGCCCATGTTAGAGCCTGGTGTGTAACAGAAAAGCGGGTGAAGGAGACGTCAGACAGTGCAAACTATGACAAAATAACAATAATTTATAAATTACCAAGGGTTCATGAAGGAGGGGAGAGTGGGGAGGAAGGGGAAAAATGAGGAGCTGATACCAAGGGCTCAAGCAGAAAGCAAATGTTTTGAGTAAGGTGGCAACAAATTTACAAATGTGCTTGACGTAATGATATATGTATGGATTGTGATGAGTTTTTGAGCCCCCAATAAAATGACTTAAAAAAACAACAACCTGGTGCTCCACGCCACCCTAGACTAGGGTGTTACTAAAAAGGCCCAAGTTCCGAACCTTACTCTTGACTGTAATTTAAGAAGGCTGAGTCCCACCAGGCCACTTTCCCTAAGGTTAGGTGCTGAGTTGATCAAATCTTGAAATGCCCATCTTTCAGAAAGCAGCCAAGTGTTCATCATGGCACCACCTGGGACTTTGGCTCAATCATGTCTGTCTTTTGTTAAGTGTCTGCTCTTGACTATAAAGAATAATTCTTAAAGTACCTGCAGGAATAGCTGCTGAACGCTGAGGTCATGAGCTGTCCTCATTTTCTTGTGCCTGGCGCACGTGTGTGTTTACAACTACTTTGGAAAAGATACAGAGATGGGAAGAGGCAGGAACAGGAGAGGAGGTGGGATGTGTGGCTAACTGCCCCCACGAGCACCTGCCTCTCCAGTCATGAGATGTGGATGGTGCCTGGCTGCCTTGACTGAAGAGTTAATCAAAGATTCTAAACAAGAATCTTAAGAGGAATCAAAACAGAATTTTTAATGCTCATGGAATCCATCCTTTCTGATTTCATGGAGGAACTCCCAATCTACCGGCCTGAGATAATTAACCCTCACATATCCTTGCGTTGTCTCAAGGCTCACTGAAACAGTTTAACTAGCACGTCATGAGCACCTGCCCCGAGCAGCGTGCAGTCTTAAGCACCCCCTACGTGGTCTCCAGCTGGCGGGACACTGAGAAAGGCTGCCTGGGTGTGGGAGGCGCACCTCAGGAGAGGGCGGCAATGCCACACAACTCCCAGGAAGGTCATCAATGCCACTGAAGTGCCCACGGAGAAATTAACAGGCTTCAGTGCTGCTG